CAGATCCTGCTTTGCAAGAACAGACCCCGCTTTGCAAGAACATTTTGGGAAACACCCGCACCGCACGTTGCCTTGCAAACACCTACCTGCAAGACACCAAGCTGATGGAGAGGGTCACCCAAGCAAGGATGCAAGCTGGACTTTCGGAAGCAGTTTAGCTTGTTTGAATAGGGCTGTTGGTTATTTATGGAGCAAAGTCCCAGTGACTCATGCTTGGAGTCTCCAGCACGCACTATGGAGACACATGCTGTGCTCTAAACACAAGCTCAAAAGTATCCCACCGTTTCAGGTGGGGTGTTTCTATGCAGCTGCTTGGGTTTGGTCATATCATGCTGCATTTTTCTTATCAGGAGCTGCAAAGTGAAATGCAAAAGCCTGGCAGATGTTTTCATGAAAGTAATGGTTTGTGGGTAAACTTAACATGCTTTCTCTGCAAAAAAAATATGGATTTTCAATCCCTGAAAACATTTTCTTTATCAGGAGCTCTCTCTTCACAAGGCCCCGAGACGTCCGCTGTCCCGGACCACATGTCCACAGTGCCAGCTGCCTCCAGCACCCCCACCCCGAGGGGTGTCCCCAGCCAGACGTGCACGGAGGTGGGACCCACGGAGCGCACGAGCGCCCTGGTCACCACGCTGCCCTCGGCCACCCTTGAGACGGCCGGAGAGCAGATCCCCCGCGGGAGGCAAGTCCACCACGCAGGTCCCAGCAGGGGCTCTGCCCGGCGCGGGGCTTGGCAGGACCGCTGTGCAGCTCTGCGTTGCTCCGCACGGGCTGCACGCTCTAAATGCTCATGGCAGTTATTAGCAATCAGAAATGCGGAAGGCAGAGTTATCTCCTGTCCATCAGCAGCGTGGCTCTTTGAACTTCTGTCTAACCCTCCTGCTGCTGGTGCCTGCCGTAGATCAGAAGCCAGAGTCAATAGCTCTGTTTTCCTTGGTTTGGCTGCAGACAGGCTGTCAGGGAGCTCGCGGCTTGAGCAATAACCCTGGTGAACGGGGAGCAGTCGCACAATTTGCTGCACACATTTTCCAGCCCTTATGCACAGCCAGGCAGTGCCCGAGTGCCACATCAGGAATTAAGCTTGGAAAAGCTTCGTCCAAAGCCTCCGAGCTATTTTGGCCAGTCGCTATTCCAGAGCACGTCCCTACGGCAGGACGTGCTGCCAGCTCAGCACAAAGTGCTTTACCTGGCTGGGGATTTTCGTGCCTGTGCTTCCTGCTGGGCTCTGCGCCTCTCAGCCCGCCCGTGGCCACCGTCCAGCCCAGGTGAAGCCATCTGCAGACCCACGTGCAGGTCAGTCCTACCCGAATGTGGCCCAAACACAAGGTTCCCAGAGCAGTTAGGCCTTGTCTGTGGGTCCCATTCCCCACAGCTGCCAGCAAAGCTGGCTCTGCATGTGGAGCTCGGGCTGCCTCTGCACGGAGGAGGCATCTCGATGCCTTCCAGCACCACGGGGGTCTGCAACAACCGGCAAAGAAAGCATTGCCCCCCATGCGTGCACTTGCACAGCGGGCACAACCTGTTTGCTTTTTGGAGGGGAATAATCAGTTGGCAGCATAAACCCCGCAAAGTGGAGCAGGGTCATAAGTGGCTGCAGAAATTACTTCCTCATAAGCCAAACTCCAGATCAAGCGATTGCATCTCCACTTGACTTTGCTGGCTGTTCTCCTGTGACTTGGTCAGAGTTTAGAACAATTTGATACTCTCTGGTGTAAAAACCACAGCCTGTATTAAACGTTTCAGGTGCCAAAACGTGAATCGAAATCCAATTTCATTTAATCCAATTCCATTCTGGCCGTTTGTCCTTCCAGGGCAACAAGTGAATCGCATCTGCTGTCCGTGGTGCTCCCAGCTCTCCTTGGGCTGCTTCTCCTCGCTATCCCTATTCTTGTCCTTACCAAAAGGAAGCTCCATAAGGAGGCAGGTAAGTGTCCAGGGAGGTTGGGGCTGTTTGTGTTTCGGGAATCCCGCACTTCCCTTTTCCGTGGGCAAAAATCCCGAAAAATCCGATTGGAGAAGCAGACGAACCGAAATTTGGGAGCCCTCCCGAAAACCAAGCCGAGTATTTCCTGCACATGGAGCGCGTTTATTGCCCGGCAGTGCTGGGAAAGGGAGCAGTGGGAAGGGCAGGGAGCTGTGCCATGGGACGGGCGCCCGGCCGGTCCCGGCCGCCGCAAACCCGCCGCCGTTCACCCCGGCCCAGCAAGGACGGGCCCAAACAACCCGTGCCAAGCAACCCATTGCCAGCAACGCCCATGGAGAAATATCCTTCCGAAACGTATTGTCTCGACCATGATAAATTTAAGTTAAATTAATCTGAAAAACCACCCGGCTTACCGCGTGTTGGAGAGCTCAGTGGGCGTCTGGGGAAGGTTTCCATCCAGCGCATCCGCATTCCTTGTTTTTAAGGAAGAGAAGGGAACGCTCCAGGAAGGCTGGAAGCAGCAACATTCGCAGACCCTGTGGAAGAGCAAAGGATGGAGGAAACGGTGAATGCAGAAAAACCCCAAGAAAGCAAAACTGACCCCAGTGAAAGCAGGTAGGATTCTTCTGGAATGGGTGCTGCAAACATCAGCTTCCCCTGGCACATGGGGATAAACCAAGACTTTATTCAGAGCGCTTGTGGCTGACTAGGTAAAACATTTCCACAGGAGAGAAACGAGGGCTGCAGCCCAGGAAGATGATTGTCTTTATTCCCTACCATGGGATATCAGGCCCTAGATTTCAAAAGACTCTGATTAAATCCTATGTGAGGTTTATAAATTTATTATAGGTTGATTATAAATTTTGCTTACGCATCACAACCATGTTATCTTTCTTCCTGTTTGCTTGTTTCAGTAATATTTCATCCCTTATGACCTCGTGCGGGATTACTTGGAAGCAATCCTTGCTCACTGTGTTGCAATCTTAACATTTTTGTCCTGCCCGTGCAGAATCACCTGCGCTATCCCCGGGAGATCCAGGCAGTCCAACCTGGCTCCAGGTGCCTGCGTCTCCCAGCAAGGTGGAGAGCAGAGGCCATGGCTAGGACTGCTGCTACACTGCAGAAAGGAGCTGGGAAAATATCTGAGACGGCAGAAAATATTCGAGTAAATATCTCAAAGTCTGTCCCATGTGTGGTGTTTCACATCACTGAAAAGTGTTCTCTTCCATTTGACAAAAAAAGAAATCTCATCTAAAACCTCCCAAATAAGCAATCGATACTTGGTGAGAAACTGCTAAAATGAAGGGTACAAACCAAGAGCTGGTAATGGCAGCACTCCAGCAGTCACCTCTAAACGAAGCATTTCTAGACCTCCCGAAACTTCAGACCCATTTAAAACTCCGAGATGAGCCTAAAAACACCACAGGGCTACCAGCACACCAAGACACCGCTACCAACGCTCCAGAGGGACAGCAAATAAACGCTTTTCTTCTGCTTTTGCAGGGACCCCCCGGGGGAAAAAAAGGCTTTTCAAGCTGAGTGATGGAGCCTCGGGGAAGGAGGGCAGGAATCCTCCCGTCCCGTCCCGGAGCTGCTGCACCCGAGGAGCCGCGAGGAGCTCGGGTCCCGTGCCGGCTCGCTGCAGGCTGCCTGGGCATCTCCCAATCCTTTGTAAATGAGAAAATAAAGGAGTGCACCTGTGGTGGGAAAATGAAGGAGTGCACCTGTGGTGGGAAAATGAAGGAGTGCTCCTGGGCCCTTGCTGCTGCAAGCGGCCGGGCTGCCAGGTTACAGCGGGGCTGGCCCGGGCACAGGGCGGCTCCCCCTTGGCAGCCCTGCGCTCCGTGCACGTTTGCTCAGCGCTAGCCTAAACAAACAAAAAAGCACCCCAAAACCCCAAAACAGCAGCAAAACACCGGCGGATTTTCAGGAAACCCGCTGGGTTTTGTTTTGTAACGTGCAAAGCGCCTCCGGCTTAAGGGCGTCAGAAAACACTCGAGTTCTCAGGGCTGGTCTCATCCCCTCGGCAGCAGAGCTAACTTGTGGCCCAAATTCGGGGCATTTTGGCCCATTGCAGCCCAGAGCTGAGCAGCAGCTCCAGCTCATGTGCTCAGGCCACGGGCTGGGCCGTATGCGGCGCTTTGGCCCCCAAACCCAGCAAACGGGGAGCTCTCGTGCTCCGGGGATGCTCTGCAGCCTGTGCCTTGGCAGGAGGGCGCTTGTCTGGCGGAGCAAGTGAATATATACACCTAATTTCATGGTGTTTGGAGACAGTGGGTCAGTTCCACAAGGAATGCTAAGGGCCAAGGCAATGGCTTCATTAAGGACTCTTAGCTGCCTGGGGCTTTTCACTCCGAGATGTAGAAGCACCTGCCGGTGCTTGTGGGGCAATTTTGGGTTGATTTTATCCCCCTACCCACCCCTAAGCTGCATCCCTGCAAGCACCCCCAGATACCTGTGCAATAAAAACACCCTTTGCACTGCAGAGGGCGAAAGCAGGACGGGTAGAAAGCAAGAGCAGGTGAGACGAGTGGGTGCAGGAGAGCCCCGTGCTCACCCCTTTTCACTTCAGATGGGCAAGAGAAGCTCTGCGCGACCCCTCAGCCGAGCCAAACCTCTATTTTGGCACTGCTAGCGTGGGGCAAAGCAAGTTAATGATTCATCTCGGGGAATAACAAAACTCTTTTGCTTTCTTTAATTTCCCCTGCCCGCGCGGCTCCAGCACCCGCCACCTTTCCCTCCAACCGGCTGCGGCGCGGCGGGCGCCCCAGGGCCGGTGCTGACGATGGCAGCAATGCTCCCGTTTGCTCTTTGTGCGATTTCTGGGGTTGCAGGGTGCGAGGCCGGAGCAGCGCTGGCCCCTGGCGTGGCATCGTGCGCCAGGGCTGCGGCAGCCACCCCCGCGCCGGTGGCACCGTGCCCGCGCCTGCCGGGCCAGCGGATGCTATTCCTTTAAGGCACAACAGGTGGAAACGCGGGGCCGGGGTGAAGACGGGTATTTAAAAGGGTGCCAGGCGAGCGGAGCGTCCCGGGGAGGCAGGAGCGGCCGCCGCCACCGGCTCGTCCCCAGCGGGTCCCTGCGCCAGGGAAGGGGGAGTCTGGGCGCGAGAGGGTCTGCAGGGTGAGTAGCACCTACCCCAAGGGACACGCCGGCAGGTGCCAGGTGGGAGAGGCTTTCGGGGGCCCTTCCTCGGATCCGCGTGGGGACAAGAGGGGATTAGCGGGGAAACGCCGGTGGGTTTTCCGAGAAGGTCGGGAACGCAGCATCGGGCTGGTGGGTTTTACGCTTTCCTCTCCACGGTGACTTTCTAAGCGCTTCTCTTCTGCAAAAAGAGATGATTTATCAGCCCGGTATTTGCATTCAGGATTAGACAACTATCTAACAGCAGGTTTTTAGTAAGTATTACTACTATAAAAGACATAGCCTTTTGGATCGTGCTCATGGGAGGTAAACCCATGGAAAGGGACTTGGCGATTTAAGAAGTTGGTGTATGGGGCCATAGGGCCAAGCCCCCACGAGCTCAGTACACCAAATTTCCGTGCAAAGCAAGCGTTCTTGCAGGATTATTCATACATTTCATACAAAGTAGAGGGGAAAAGATTGCCACCTAATAGAAACGGTTGCTGAAACAGAGGCATTCGTGCCATGCTTCTACCCATCAAACCCTCACCCTGCAGTCAGGGGCAGGACAGCAAGTGCTCTGGGTTACAGCTTCTAAGGATACTAACAGCATTAAAATGGAATAATAGGTTAATAGCACTGAAATGGGTTTCACTTTCCAGCCCAAGAGGCAAGAAACAAAGCTGGGTACAAAAGAACCCTAGGAATCCTCCCCAGGACAGGGCAAGTGAGCCTATGGTGGCATCTGAGAGCTAAGGGGAGCAGCAGGTCACATCAGCAGGGCAATCTCAGCCAGGGCTTCAGCACGAGAGTTGCCTTTTGCACAGAATATATTGCTGGTAAAGGACAGTGACGGAGTGGGACACGCAAAAATTCTTTGCTAGGAAGTCACAGGTACTGCAGGATTTCTTACAATCTATTGATTTTGAAGGCAGTCCTAAAATCCTTCTGTAAAATCTGCCTAGCTGCTTCAGTGTATCACAAAATCAGCACCTGCTCTTTATTTATCCCTTCCATATTGTGATGGAGGCATCGATTTGGAACACGAAATATTTATTCTTTGTCTGTGTTCAGGTCAGCTTGAACTTGCATCTTCAAAAAACAAATCTATCGCTTGCTCCCATAACTCTGTGAAGGGCAGAGAAAATGTTCTACCCAAGTGGATGGGCGGCTTTTCCCAATCCCACCACAAGCATCTACAAGTCTCACACCGGCCATCGGTGTGGTGATGGTAATGGATAGGATAAAAATGCAGCTAAACCTGGTACTGGCATTTAGGAAAGTCCGTTTGCATGCCCTGATCCTTGGCATGTGGGCAAATCTCCCTGCTTGTGCCACATCCTCTGGTACAACGGCCCAGTGCAGCAAGATCATCATGTAGATCATCATCATATTGTGCTCGTGGTGCTGGCAAATGTCTCTTTAAAAGGCTTTGGAGGAAAAAAAAAATGTGAGTGTGTGCATGTATATATACATATATATATTTTACTCCTTTCCGTACAATTCCTTCAATATTTGGGTAACAGTAGGCCTGCTGCAATAGAGGCGGATCTTTAGAATAGGTTTACAAGCCCAGCGCCAATTCTTCGTGTTTCGCTAGCCCTGTGGCGCGTCCTTGACACTGGTCACTGCTAAGAGCAGTAGTTAATGGTTAATGCCGTAGGCCAACCCGGCCGAGCTGAGTCGGCAGGACCTGGGCCGGAGCCCCGCGATTCCCACCTGGCAAGAGCGGCTGCTTGGGCTGGCGCTGCCCCGACCAGAGCATCGCTCTGCACCCGCACGCCTCCAGTCCCAGCCCCGCAGGAACCTGCATCCCGGCATGCCAAACGTTCCCACCGGTGACGAGGTGGTCACCGCGCCCCGGCTCTGTCCACCCTACGTTGTGTAAAACCTGTGCGATTTGGGTTCGCTTTGTTCCACACAGCGCGCAGCGAGGTGCAGAGCACGGCGGCGCACCGGAAAGCAGCGTGCGCTACTCGCTGCCAAAACGACCCTTGCGACACTGAGAGATTTAGCCATTAAAAGCCCAAAAGTGGGGGGAAAGAGGCCATCAGCTGCCCTCGCCACCCCGCCATGGCCAGCACTCAGCCCAGCGCCGCTCCGAGCGGGAAGTGGGTGCGGGATGCGCCGCGCGCCGCAGCGCATGGGGAAACACCAAAACCAAGGCACGGAAACGGGCTGCAAGTTGGAGCACGTTCCCTGGCGTGAATGTCTGGCCTTTTACCAACCCCGACCACCTCACCTCACGAGCAAAGGCTCATGCCTTTGCCGGCCAGCCCGAGGCACAGGAATGAACACGGATACGTGGCAGCCCAGGGCAAAACCCCAGATCCCTCACTTAGAAATAGCTGAATCTTCTCTTTTCTATCACGTAACAACTAAATATTCTCAAAGTGCTCATATTATTTTGCTTATGATCAGCCTCTGTTGTTGCTTTGGTGGCGGGGAGGCCGCAACTTTACATACAAAGGGATCCCACCCAGGGAGCCCAGCTCCGGCACCAGCACCTTCACCCTGCCTTAACAGCTGACAGCGAAGAGGAATAAGCTGGGGGTGCAGAACGAGAGCGAGTGCCACTTCTCAAGAGACACCGCTCGAGTGGCATCTAAAAGACAGACGAAGGGAAAGGACACCCTGGTTAACGCCAAACCCGCGGCCACGTACGAGTCCTTCGCGCCCCCAGCCCGCCCCGGACGTGTCGTGAAGCTGCTCTGGGGATGGCACAGCTGCTCCTGGCCCTTCCTCTGCTCCCCACGGTCCCGAGCCTCGTCCCACCTGCCCCGGCCTCTCCTTGCAGCTCCCCTCCGCCTGCAGCAGCGTCAGTGCGAACCAGCCCCGCGGCCGCTTACTTGCTGAGCCCAACACTCGTCTTCCTCCTTAGGCGCTCGGAGCTTCAAATCTCGTGCTCTGGCGATGCACTGCAAATCCTGTAGGAAAGGCCCATCAGCACACACAAAAAACAAAGAAAAGAAAAGGGGAGTAAGAGCTCTGTTAAGGATAACTTTGGTAAATGAATCCCTTGCAGTGCCATGGACGGCGCAGCGCGGCTGCATCGTCCTCTCAGAGCGCAGCCCGCGCGGGCAGCAAGGAGGGGGTTTCCTCGGCTATAAGGGAGCGGGTCAGTACGGATGCACCTGACAGCGGCTTTACGTAACGGGCGGCTCTGCTTGTTTGGGCTTGCTGCAGCCAGGGGTTTTTCCTCCACTCGTGCAGCGAGTGCCGCAAGGAATTGGCTCAGCGCGAGGACAGGGCTGCAAGCGGCGCTGGGCTTCGTCCCCAGGTCCTTGCACAGACACAGATTGAGTGCACTCAAAAATAAAGAGGCAAAAGTCCTCTCATGCTTATGTGTGCATACGTGGACCTCGCTAGCTCCACTCTTGTATGCATCTTTCTGAACGTTTTATCTGTTTCTTACAAGAAACATCCTTTTCCACCTGACAGAGATGCTGTCAGGATCCCTGTGGTGGCCAGGAGCTGCTTGCTTGCACTAACAGGCTATTTCTTGCTAAGACCATGGGGTCTGTCCTTCCCCCCTTCCTTATCCCCACGCAGCAGAGAAAGCAGCAAGGCTCCCGGAGCCAGCGGAGCTGCTGCTAGCAAGGGTCAAACAGCAAGGCCCTTTCTGCAGTGTTTGCTTTCTGCAGCATGGGTTCTGTTTGTCTTGCTGGCTTCTTCTGGGATTTGCATGAAAGCGCATTTTTCATGCTCGGTGAGTTAATTATTAGCCATAGACAAGTAGCCACTGAGCAATTAGAGATCACAACACAAGGAAGAAAGCACAACAGAACACCTTTCATCCTAACAAGGAAATGAAAGCCTTTTTCTCTTGATGGGAATTGCCCCTAATGTAATAAATCCTGTCACTTGATACCCAGAAATCAAATTCTTGCGGATGTTTGTAAAGACTTTCTTGGCATCCATCCTCTTCTCTAGAGCTTGGAATAACCAAGTAGGTGAGCAGTCATGCTTGGGACGCACACGTCCCCCCGGCAGCGCACTGTGCAACGGCAGGGAAAAGGGCGCTGGGGATTAAGTCCTGGATTTCTCCAGCCCATCACTCAATTCCGAACGGAAAGATCAGAAACGTTCGGCCTGAAGGACACAGAGGCTTTTCGATCAGCCCACAGTTTGATTTGGCATTCCTAGCGCCGCGCTGCCCATCGCGCTGCGTCCCGGCCAAGGGGTGGGTTAGCTCTGGCCCGATATACCCATGGGGACAGCACTTTGTTTGGTTTGAGCTAAATCTCTTCATCTTACCAGCTTTATCAGCAGCAGAAGGAAGAAAGAAAAAATAAATAAAAAGAACATTTATCCCTCCTTTTTACTGGCAAGCCTCCTCAACAAGAACGGGGAAGCAAAGGCCAGGCTAAAGCTCCTGCAGGACCTGGTCCACAAGCGCAGGTTTTCCTAAGGAGTGATCTTGGCAGCCTAACCAGCAGGTGAATAAGCCTTCCTTTCACAGCACAAGAAAAGAAGGAAGGAAAATGCCACATGCTCTAGGTGTGCCTGCTTGAGCAGGAAGGTTGGACTAGATGATCTGTAGAGGTCCCTTCCAACCTTAAATATTCTGTGAATCTGTGAATCTGTGAAAATGTGACCCCACTGTACCAAGCACTTAAAAACGGTGTGAACTTCTGACAAGGGCCAGGTTGGCAGCTCTGATCCTGGTCCCCGCTGGACTTTCATGCCCTTGGCTGCTTTTGGACCATCTTTGGACTTTAACCTGCCAAAGGGTTGCTCTGGTCTACAAACGTGCAAACATATTCAGAGCTTGGCTGGCCTTTTTTGCCTGGTTTAAACACTTTTGCCTCGAAATACTTCTTGCTTTGTTCTTCCAGCTGTGCCTGAGTCTTTGCAAGACAGATGTGGGGAAAGATGAGCAAAGCGGCCACTTTGCAGAGCCCAGAGTCTCCCCGGGGATGGTGGGATGGGGAGAGCAGAGAGCCCGGGATGCTCCCTCTGCCTCCAGCAGCTCCAGCTCCCCACCCGTCCCAGACCTATGGGGCACCGGGTGCAACCCAGCCGCTTCCCAAGTGACACTCACCCCGTCTTTTCCTTCCAGGGAAGGAGGCAAAATGAGCATCCTGGCGTTCCTCGCATCTGCGTTCCTGCTCTCCCTCCTGCCCGCGGAAGCCGCGAGGAGCAAATACCCACCCAAATCGGGAAGTGAGTGCGAGGCCGCGGTGGGACGGGGGAGCCCCCTCGCCGCAGCGCCCGCCGCTGCCCCGTGGGGTTGCGCAGAGCGCCGGGCACTCGCTCCTCTCTCCTTGCAGTTCTGAACCCCATCTTTGGGCCGAGGGAGGTGAGTGGTTTGCTGGACGGCTCCGTCACCGTCAAGTGCTTCTACCCCCAAACCACGGTGAACAAGCACGACAGAAAGTACTGGTGCCGCGAGGCGACGAGGAGCTGCCACACCGTCGTCTCCTCCAACGGCTACGTGGCCCCCGGGTACCAGGGGCGAGTGGCCATCACGGACTTCCCGGATCAAGGCGTGTTCCTCGTCAACGTCTCGGGGCTGGGCCTGGCGGACAGGGGCTCCTACCACTGCGGCCTTGGCCTCAACAACAGAGCGCTCTCCTTCCAAGTGAAGCTGGACGTTTCTGAAGGTAGCGGCTGTAGAGCGTTGCTTTCCTTTGCCCCTTGTGGCTGGGCTCCGCGGGAGGTCTGTCTCAGCCCTCTTTGTCCTGGTGTTTTCACAGAGTAGCCTATTTTGTCATCACTAATTCAGAAAAAACAGGAATGGGGTGAAATGAGCCATGTTGAAGGCTTCAAACCTTGTTTAGAAACTGCTGACTTTTCCAATGGGCAAGGAGAGGGTTGCAGAGCACAGGGCAAAATCAGGCCCTGCGGTAATCAGGCCCTGGGAGAACCCTTGGTGCGGAGCAGGGACATGGCCGAGACACCAGTCTCGTGGTGACAGGGAGCACAGTAGGACAATCTCATGCTCGAAGCAGCAGCACACAGAATACGAGAGCGTTACGGTACAGAAAGACCCTACGTTTGCAGAGAGCGGGCTGCAGCAGTCCCTGCCCAATGCTCCTTCCCACAGGTCCAAACGTGCCCGAGGAAGCCGAGCTCTTCTACGTGGAGCTGCAGGGCTCCGTGACCATCACCTGCAGCTTCGGGCAGGACTACGCGAGCATCAGGAAGTACCTGTGCAAGATGGAGAAATCCGGCTGCCGGAACATCATCGATACCTACGGGAAGGTGGATGACGAGTACGCGGGGCGCATCTTGCTGAGCAACGAGAACACCGCGGGCTCCTACAGCATCATGATCACCCAGCTGGGCTGGCAAGACGCGGGGCTCTACCTGTGCGGAGCGGGGGTCTACGGAGAGAGCGGAGAAACCAAGGAAGTGGATTTGCACGTCTATGAAGGTCAGGGAGCTCTTCCCCAGGGTCTAAAAACCCCTACGTGGGTTCCCTTCATCTCTGTTCCTCTTTAGACCTGATGCTAATGGTCTCATTTACACAGAATCACAGAATGTTTAAGGTTGGGAGGGACCTCTAGAGATCATCTAGTCCAACCAAGTCCAACCATTTTACTTAACAAGGATTTTAATTTCTTTTCCTAGAGTGCTATTATTCTGTTCTCTCCTACAGATCTTTCTTTCTATTCATGTATCTCTCAGTCATGCACTAAGTCATGACTAATAAACCCCAGACTTGTACCTAGAGAGCTGGTTTTCCTGGCAGTGATGAGCTATCTTCCTGGTGACAATTTGAGACAAGATGACTGTCTCCTTGAATCTTTTAATTTCCTTAAATTTCAAAATGATACATATATAGGACGGAAAAGACTTACCCTTCCTCTTAAAAAGGAAGTGCTACTGAGAAATGTTGGTACATAAGACCAAAATAACCCAGTTAATTTAGGAAAAGGAGAGACCTGACAGATCCTTTGTGGTCAGTTCCTATCAGCCCCAGGATGGTCTCCTACCATTGGTAGCCTAGAGCTTGACCCAGTCTTGTTTCAGCACCTAATACAGCTTTGTTCCTTTTTTTTTTTTTTTTTTTCTTTATTATTAATTTATTCATTCCCTTATTTTTTCCCTCAGAAAGTGCCACATGAAAGTCTAGGTATGTGAAACTGCCCCTTTTATTTTGTATCTCCAGGGACAGACGTTCCTCAAGGAAAGCACACAGTGCTTGGGGTGAAAGGAGGCTCGGTGACCATCGAATGCCGCTATGACACTAAGGGAAGGAGCTCGTTGAAGTACTGGTGCAAGTGGCGAAAGAACGGCTGCTCCCGGATCATAGACAGCAACGGCTTCGTGTCAGACCTCTACGAGGGAAGGGTGGCCATGTACGACAACCCGGAGAACAACACACTTACCGTCATCCTCAACCGGCTGGCGGACAGCGACAGCGGCTATTACTGGTGCATGACGAATGAGAACAGGGAGAAGAAGACGTCCAAGGAGCTGAAGATCGTGGACGGTATGGACACGTGTATTATCCTGCCCACACGGTGGGTAGGAACTAACCTTCTACGCACCACAAAAGGTTTTGTGAGGAGACACGAGGTCCTTCTCTGTCCTACAAGGCAAAATTTTGCAGCAATTTCCCCCCGCCTGGTAATTTTAATGGGAGCACCAGGTTTCAGGTCTGTGGGGAAGCACTGGCAAGCAGCATCTCCGCATGACTACCTCTTACCCCTCACAAAACATAGCTTTGGCGCACAAAGGTGTACGCAGCTCCTTAGCACCGACTTAGTGGTGTAAGGAGCACTTTCCCTCAAAGATGTGTCTCGTGGCCCCCATCATGGGGACTTACTCCCTACTTGCTCTCATGACTGCTGCCAAAACTGCTAATCCTGCTCTCCGGTTGTGTCTCCCTCACAGGAGAACCGAGTCTAACAGGAGAGGAGGAGGTGGAGGCCAGCGTGGGCGCTCCGGCACAGCTGGCTTGCTCTTACCCCTGCAAGTACTATTCCTATGAGAAGTACTGGTGCAAGTGGACCAGGAGCGGCTGCACGCCCGTGGAGGCTTCCGACCAAAGCCGCGCCGAGCTGAACGTTGACTGTGACAAGGACAACAAGACCATTCTCCTAAATTTTGACGATGTGGCACTGACGGACCAGGGCTGGTACTGGTGTGGAGTGAAGCACAAGGGTGTCTATGGGGAAACCAAGGCCGTGCAGCTGCGGGTATCTGGAGGTGAGCTCCATGGCGAGAGCGGACGGGCGCTTCCACGCTGCAAACCAAACCCCGCCGCCTCCTGCCGGGAGGGAAATGCTGCCCGCCTCCACCAGGCTGCAGCACCTCAAAGCACAAAGGCTCTCACCCAGATCCGAGCCCGCTCGGGTTTGCTGAGCTCCGCAGGCGCTGTCATCTGCTCCCTGGTGTGGCTGCCTCCTCCCTCCCCAGCGCTAAGGGAAGCCAGGCTGTACACATCACTTCCTTCCACCCCCTTTTCGCCCCTTTGACTCTATTCCTAGTAATTGTTCGTATGGCAATTTGCAGCATCACTCGAATGATGCAGCATCTGGCATGTGCCATGTGAAAGGCAGCACGAGGTAGAGGCACCTGACCCCAGGGAGCTTATGGTCTTAATGGACAGGGAAATTGTAGGGTGCGGGAAAGGAAGGGCAGCCAACACAGTCCCTCTCTACGAGCAAGGGGCTTGGGCTCCGCTTTCCTGCCGTGTTTTGGACTGCAGATATTTTCCTCGGGAAGGGATTTTGGGATCCCTTGGTAAGGGAGAGGAGCAGCCTCATTCCACTTCCATTGGTGGGTAAAGCGCAAGAAATCAAAGCAAACCGAGTATTTCCTTGCAATGCTGCAAAGAAACAGCTTTCCTAGCAAGCTGTTTCCTTGCAATGCTGCAAAGACGAGATTCAGAAACGCAAGAAGTTTCCAAACCTACGTGCGAATCCAGAAGGAGCCTGCTCAAGATTTTTGCAAGACATTGTTTCGGGCTAAGTTTTTCCAGGCAACTAAATCACAATTTAGAGAGTCACATAAGTATATATACGCACACATATAGGCAATATGCATATAGCCATACTCAATATAGGCCTATACGCACAAAATGCAGCACGCACTTGCCTTCCCTCCTTGTCTCCATGCGTTCCCGTCCCTTGTCGCGCAGAGCGGCTGGCCGTGGAGAGCGGCGCGGCTGCCCGCCCGGAGCTCCTGGACGTCGATGCCCGCAGCAGCAGCAGCAGCGGCGGCAGTGCCCAGGACGGCGGCGGCGTTGCCCAGGACAGGGCCAGCAGCAGCGGGGCTCAGAGCCCCGCGGTCGCAGGGAGGTGAGTCCCGTCCGAGCCACGGCTGCTTGGGATGCTCCAGGAGGTTGTCCTGGCGCACGTGGCTCGGAGGCGTCAGGTCACAGCGGCATCTCCCTCATGCAGCGCTGGCCCCAGCTCGCTCGTGTTGGCACTCGTCTCCGTCGGCGGAGTCTTCCTCATCCTGGCCACGGTTTTTGCAGTCTACAAATACAGGCAGATGAAGCGCTCGGGTGAGTCCGTGCCGCTCGCGGGAGACGTTGGTAAGGTCGGGGTAGTCGGTGGGGTTGAGCAGCACATCCCAGCTGCTCCTGCGGTGGGAAGCACACGGAGCCTGGCTCGCGGCGGCTCCGGATCCAGGGAGACCCAGAGGCTGGAGCCCCATGGAGCTTGAGGAGCCGGGGGGAAGGAGCCGGGGGGAAGGAGCCGGGGGGACAGGAGCTCACCAGTGCCGCACGTCCCTGCTCTCCGTCCCGCAGACCTGGTGTCCGTGGGGAGCTACCGCACCAACATCAGCATGTCGGACTTTGAGAGCGCCAAGGAGTACGGCGCCAACGACAACGCCTGCATGAAGGGCACGCAGGAGACACAGATTGGGGGGGACGGTAAGAGCAGGGGAGGCCCCGCGGGAGCGGAGCCCCTTGGCGAGGCAGCAGAGACCCTCCCTAACGTCCCCCTTTCCTTCCAGAGCTCGTGAGCACCACGAGCGAAGCCGAGAGCGCCGCCGAGGCCAGGAAGGCCAAGAGGGTAAGAGGCGGCGGGCGGGCGCCCCGGCGTGGGCGAGCACGCGGGCAGGAGCGGGCGCAGGAGCAGGGCCGGGTTGGAGCACGGGGGGCTGCTGCTGGGTGCCCGGGGTGCCGGTCGCCCCGCGGGACCCAGCCCTGCAGCGCCGCCCTTCCCTCCCGCAGAGCTCCAAGGAGGAGGCCGACGTCGCCTACTCGGCGTTCCTGCTGCAGGCGAGCGCCGTGGCGCAGGGCCGTGGTGCCGGGGGGGACACGGCCGCCCCACCGGGGCCCTGGGACGGCCGCATGTGAGCGCGGGACACCCCGCGCCGCGGCCCCGGCGCCAGCACCGTCCCCGTCCCCGGCCGCTCCGGTGCCGGCGGGCTGGGCGCCGCGCCGCAGCGCTCCGCTTCACTCTCCTGCTGGGCTCTATAGGAAAAGCATGAGAATATTAACACACACTGCAAATCCGGAATAAAGACACATGAGCTCTCCCTTTTATCCAACCCCGTTCCCGCTCCTTTCCTTCCTTCTCCTGCTGCCGAACCACACACCAAGATCACGTCTGGGATCTCATGGATCACATCCCCGCGTCACCATTGGGTCCCCCCTTGGAAAGCGCCTCGAAGGCGGCAGGAGGTGCCCACGGGCCTGGACCTGCCTGGGCTGCTGGAAGCGAACGAATGATCCCTGGGCAATTGGAGCGGCCGCACGGACTCATCCAGCCAAGGCAGAACATTATCACTTAGAGATTTCTGAGCTGAAAACAACATTTTCTCTCTTCCTCCCAGCTCAGCTTCTTCCTGAGCAAACTACCGAGCCACTACCTCTTGCTAGCCGCCGTCACACATGTTTTTCCAAACAAAAACCTCTCCGCATTACATAGGAAACTGGGTAAATAACCACAGCCCTGTCCAGGTATCGAGGCTGTGCAGATGCCAGGGGAGTCTAAAGCTCAGGGCACTTCCAGAAGCAGCCCCTTCCCCTCCTTCCCCTCTCCAGACGGGACCGTGTTGCCCGCAGAAGGCTCCGCAGGACCGTCAGGAACCCCCGTGATGCTCCGGGCTGCATCCCGGCCCCGCTGCCCCATTCCCACGCACCGGAACCGCTCGCGCTTCGGCGCAGGCCACCCCAGCTCCACGCAACCCCAGCCGCTTGTTTGCAATGCAAAAATCAAATAAAGAGCTCTTAGCGCAGCAACTATGATAGAAAACATTGCTTTTTTTAAACAAATCACTAGCATGGAGACACACATTCCTAAGAGCTTGTTCTATATTTGAATGCTCACAACTGCCAGGAGCAACTACAGCAGCTATAAAGGACACGCAGTGAATTCTGCTCACAAGTTTCCCTGACAAGCAACAGTAACACCTCTGAGTTTTGGCAAGCGCAGTCTAACCCAGACCAGCAGTTTTAATTGGGTTTATTTACAGTAAGTGCAACCAATTCACACAAAGTATAGTACTGAGTAGCAGATAATTGCATAATACACACATTTTTTTTTTCCTTCTATTCAAAAACCACATTTCTCACGTTGAAAAAATGGTTCTGTTACTGATAAGGCAGAAAATACCATTTCAAAAGGAAACACGGGTTTTGAGGCTGGAAGTCCCTGCTAGAGTTACTCTTGCAAGCAGTGCCCACCCTGTCCACAGGTTGGTTTCAGCAGCCTAAAAGTGAGCCCAGCTCTAAGTGCTGTTCTGTAGCATTAACTGGATCACAACAGTACCCACCAGGGATCCAGGTCTCATTAATATATACAAAGAGTCCATAATTTAAACAATAATTCTATTACATTAGCATGGCATGTGTCTGCTGGTAGCACAGGAGAAGCCTTTCTTGCTTTGCCCTTGAAGAGCATCTTTTGCCAGGAGACAAGTGCTCTGCGGACCGGGTTGACCTCAGCCCTTCCATCTCCATGCAAGCCTCCACGGATGCATTTCCGGGAATCCACCCCGCTAGCAAAACACTCGGTGTTTGAGCAGACATCAGCTACAATGAGTGAGAAACGGCGTTGAAATATGATTTCCATGACCAACATGGGCACGGCGTTCCCAACCAGGCCCCTGCCGTGTGGTTAACGCTGCCCACGCTCTTAACGAGACTTCTCCATCCAGTCTAGTAGGATATCCAGCTCGCCTAAGGATTTCATTGCTGCAGACGTGACATTCAGCTGAAACGGATAGAGAGGAGCCCTAAGTACCGATAGCAATTATATTAAGGTGAGTCCGAGTACCTTAATTGAGTACCTTAATCTGAGTATTAATTAATAGACATATTGTCACCCACTCACCCCTCTGTAGTTGGTGAGTATTTGCTTGAACTTCTCTGTGGACTCCTGGCCACACTTGCACATGTTTTGGTTATGCTAGAAGAATAAGAGAGAATTCATTTGTTTGGAGCTTTCATTTTTAAAAATAAGAGATCACTTTCTAACTACAATGGAAACTATTGTGCAGACGGAGTCTTTGTGAAATTGAGAAAGGCTGCACTCCCCAAGCCCAGCTTCAGCTCAGAACTTGCTCCGATAGAGGGGCCTGGGAGAAATTGTAGTTTTGAGGGCTAACGTGGGAGGCGGCAAATGCAAAACCCTCTCAGTGGACATGCAGCCTCGCCGTTTCATGTCCCTCCTCCACATCTCTCTGGTTAAAGCCATGTTTATAAATAAAGATTTCATAACTTTATAAAAAGCCTGGCTCTACTTATGTACCAGACACAGGTGCAAATAAACCCGAGGAGCTGCAGACTTACGCAGTGCGCCAGGTTCCGCTTGATGCTGAGGAAAGAGTTGGCGATGCTGCTGATCTTTCTGTTGACGTAGGAGTCCTCGGTCGTGCAGTATTTGAAGACTTTGTCCACGTAGAAGTTGAAGAGGTGATGGATGATGCAACATTTTTCTGAAGACTTAAGCAATATATTTTTATTTTAAAGGTCTTCCAAAGGGCTCTACGCCCACAGTTACCAGCAGACTCTGTCCCCCAGCAGAACGTGCCACCTCTGCCACTAGATGTAGCTGATAGGGCAATGTTAGGGACATACACTTTGCCTTGATGGAGGCTGATAATACATAGAGGTCATTATTATAAACTGATTTTACTGCAGATCAACATTCAGCAAATCCCATTTAGTCACTAAAAGAGCTGCCGATTTCCAAGCTGGATATTAGAGGACCCAGAAAGAGCAACAGGAGAGGCCGGCAAGGCGCCTACCTTGATCTTGTGCAGGGAGTGCGGGTGGGACAGGATGCTCACGGTGCGGATGGGGTCTCTGCCTTGCTGTGCAGGCAAAGAGATGCAATGCAATTGCATTGCAATTGCAAATGCAATGCAATTGCAACGATGCAATTGCAAAGCAATGCAATAGCAAAGAGATGCAATCCACTCTCACCGCGATGGTGAGAGCGGATCCCGGGCTCCCGCGGTCCCCATGGAGCCGCTTTGGGAAGGACTTTCCCACCCCACCAGAGCCCCCGGCACTACTTACAATATTGGCTTTAATCGCTGCAAAACCAGCCCTGATTTCATTCATGCTCATGGAAATCCGGCAAGGTCCAAAGTGGAAGAGTTTGTTCCCATTCGCTAGCATGGACCAGCACATAGTGGAGAAGAGGAGAACGTGAGAGCCCTTCATGCCGTGGGGCAGTGCGAAACCTGCCTCAGGGACCTGCACAAGGAAAGGACAGGATTTCCTCATTATCTTTCCTCCAAGAAACGGAAATATAAGCAAAAGTTATTATTTTTTAATACAATTACTTTGCATTAAGATTGCAAATACACGATTTCTGAGCTTACCTTACCTCTTCATGGGCTACACACACATTCAAAAGAATAGCTCAGGTCACAGTAAAAATACCCTGAACCCAATTTGTTTATATATGCTGTGAGCAGAGAACATAATGGTGGTATATACGAAAAGGCACAGATTTTAGATATTATTGGTTGCATATGTATATATGCGTTAGAGCACACTGGTCAGCGTGTTCTCACATCTGAGATGCAAGAGTTGGAAAAAGAAAAGCATTAAATATCTCAAAGAAGAGAAAAGGCTGAAAATATCAGTAAAATCCAGCAGATAGATAAAGTTTCTCTCAAAATTTTCAGTGGAAAAATAAATGCTACTAAATTTAGCAGTTAAAAGTCTCCCAATTCAAAGAAAACAGGACTGCAGGCAACTGCCTGAAAGCAGGAGCTCTGACAAAGAGGCCACTACAGCAGTAGGAGCAATTAGGTGTTAATTCCTACCGCAGGAGGACAAAAATCAGCGTTTTACCTTCTTGCCGCGATGCAGACTCAGCCGGCTCTCGGATCTCTGACCTGAAGCGCTCCGAGGAACATGTTTTTATCAAGGCAGAGGGAGGAAATAACTCTGGGATTAACTTTTGGGATTTTTCTCCCTTTTCCCAGCACAGATTTCCCTTTGTAATTTGCTGAATTAATTACTCAGTGAAAGGGACCAGCTCATGCACCCACAGGTGTTTCTCTTGCATATGGAGGCGGGAAATCCTGGCATTTCCTTGTCATCCTTTTTTCAGGAAGAAGGATGCGGCTGAAAGGAGGGACCGTCGTTGGGGTTGCGTCTCCCAGATTGCTGCACTTGAGGACGGCGACAGCAGCCACAATTCCACCTGCCTCAGCTGGGAGCTGAGGAATCTTCCTGGAAAAGAGCCTTTCCAGGCTCCAAAAAGGGGAAAAAATACATATATATATATATATAGCAGAAAGGGGCCTTGCAGCATCAGCGCATGAGAGGTTATGGTCTGGGCATCCCACAGCAGGAGCATTTCTGGTGTTTTCACTAGGGTTTCAGGAGCACCTGTGTTTTAGGTGACGGTGCACGGTCTGAAGTTACCGTTCTGCAAAGGAAGGGAGATTTCACTCAGACTGTTCCGTGTGCATCAGCCCTGCAGCAGCCGCAGATGCTCCCCGTGGAGGGGAAGCTCCAAGGGCTGCAGGTATCGGAGGCATTGCCTGCTGCTCCAGGTCCAGGCTGCCCCGTGTGCCGTCCGGGACACCCATCCCGGGAAGGTGCCAAGGGCTGGTGTCCAGGAGGATCTTAGGATATCTCTGCACCTTGCCTTTGGCTCCAAGGGTAGTCCTGTGGCCCCTCTGGGAAGAGCCCGGTGTGGTCTGCAAGGAAAAACAACCTCCTTGGACTGCTCCGTCCCCAGAGGAAGAGCCAGGGGACTAGAGGACACGGGCATGGCAAAGGAGGACCTTTAGTGCCCAGCAAACCTCTAAAGAGCCCTGGGTAAGGGTGCAAGACCCCTACAGTGTGGACATAGCTTGTGCCTATAGCTCTGCAGCTCAGAGCAACTATAGAGAAAGTTCCTGGGTGAGTATTTATTGATAACAAACTCAACCCTGAGACTACATCCATCATCGCAGTAAGACTAGGCAAATACTCTTTCTGCCCAGGCTAGTCGCAGTTTTGCATACCTCCGAGAGCCCCACCACGCACCCAGCAAATGCCGACTTCAGCCCCTGGATCTCACTCCACAAATGAAAATAATCCGAAGGCAGGTCCCGATCTGCAGCTGCTGCGGTGCTGGGGCCCTGCTGAGCAGCACGCGGCTGGCACGGCCGGCGCCTCCGCCCTGAATTCCCCATTTCTGGGTGTAATTGCAGCAAAAGTTGCACCTGGAGCAGAGAGGCAGCAAGGGCTCCCCTGTGCCAGCAGCACTCCCAGCTCCACACCCAGCCCCGGGAGGAAATGAGGGAAGAGGCAACGAGCTGTTACTTAATTATGTAAATTGCAGCTGAGAAGAAGGGGGTTTCTTTTCCTTCTAGTGACTGAACTGATGCTCAAGAGGCAGGTCAGCCAAATGCCAGCAGGCAGGAACCCGTTGTGGCTTAAGAACTGCTGGCTGGGCCCAGGGGAAAGAGGACAGTCCTAAGGGAGCAGGGTGCTTTTTTACCAGGGCTTGGGGCCGTGGGCTCATGGCTTGGCCTTGCTGTCCTTTGGAGAGCTGCAGTGACAGCGTGGCCCTCTCCTCAAGGGCAAATAAGGCACATTAGACTCTGGGAGACACACTGGGGACCGTTGTCACCTTTGGGTTTGAAGCATAAGCACCAAGACGGTGCTTGGCTGTGCAAGCATCTATGGGACACAGGAGCATCCTGGCGTTTGGGAGCAGGTCTGGTCCAGGCCCAGCACAGAAGGCCGAGTACCAGGGACTGCAGCAGGCTTGGATGGAGCCCCAAACGCAGCCATTGCGCTCGGCTTGACGCTGCGCCCAGGTGGATCCCGACGTGCACGGAGCTGCTGCAACGGGAAGGTGACGTCAGGGCGGGAGCCGGGCATTGCTCACCCGCTCTGGGAAGGAAAAGGGAAAGGAGAAAGGGATTTCTGCTCTGGGAAGGAAATGGGAAAGGAGAAAGGGATTTCTGGAACAGGGGAGCATGACAATGCAGGCGGCAAGATCAGCTAATCAAAGGGGAAAGGAGGCCCCGAGGCGCTCGCTCCGGGTAGCCGAGTTTTTGCATAGGGCAGTGCCTGCCGTGCGGCGCTGCGGGAAGCAGCCCTGTCCTCGGCTTCCTCCTCGTGACGGGGAAGGCCCTCCCGGGGGCTTCACAATAAGCACACAGCAAATTCAAAGGAGATTTTTGGCTGAGCAGCCTCATCCCACCTGTGCGCAGCTCGGGCAATAACTGGCCAGCAGAAATGTGGTGCAAGGATTAGTGCAAAATCATCATCGTGCCGGCAAGCGAGCAGCCGAGATTTCTTCCCCCGTCCTGCTGCAGGTTCGTGCCCATCTGCGAGCATCATTACCGCAATGGGGCCTCAGTTTCCCTCTACGTCTGACTCAGTCCCGTGCTTTTCCAGCCTCTCATTTCCACTGACATCAGTGGGGCGGCGCGCGCTGCGGGTGAACGTCGGGCTCGACTGTCGGGCTCGGACTGACCAAAACTGCTGCTTTATCCCGAGCACTTGCACGCTGTCCTGGTCCTGCAAAGCATCTCGCTGTCAACAACCGATCATACACATTAACATGAGATTTCCAGTAAAAGGACATCCTTTGCCAAAGGATTGTAGGTGTGTTGCTAGAGGAAGAAAATGTCTCTGCGTGGTTTTCGTGCCCCAAAACAGTCGCACAGTTGTTCGGCATCTGCTCGTTTCATTTCGCTGCCCTGTAAACCGTCAAACTGTCTTTCACTTACCATAGCCTCATACTAATGTGAAATATTAACTGCATCGGTGCTGCCGCCGCAGCTCTGCATTGAGGATTTAATTGTGAAACAATTAAAGAGACTCAGAGTCTCTTCCCATCGCCTGCAAACAAGTGCTAATCCCGAACAGCCCTGTGGAAGCCGCTGGGTTTCCAGCAGTGCTGCAGCGAGACCTTGCCCGGTGCAACCGTTCTTCCCACGAGCAGCTGCAGAGCCGCAGTTTGCTGTGTGAGATGGAAACGGAGCCTGGGAACGAGCTGCAGCCCGCGGCCTCTCCCAGCCCTCCAACCCGGCAGCTTTTCTCCCCAATTCGTGTAAGCAGAGCACCCAGGGCAGCTCCGAGGCGCAGGTAGGATATGGCTCACTCAGCTGCAGCTCTGCAAGGCTGCTGACAGAAGTAGAAAATTGTTTTTCTCAGTAAGCTCCTCAAATGACTCAGAAGAAACTCGGCAGGAGTTGTCAGCTCAGAGGTGCGGTACATTCTGTGCCCTCTTTTCGCTCACGTTTCTAACCATAACCACTTTAATAATGCTGAAAATCAAACGCTGAACTCTGCTTTTTATAGGGCTGCAGGCTAAGCGTGGATGAACTTCACAAAATGCAGCGTTTATTCAGCCAGGGAGGAAGGATTTCAAAAGCCGAGAGGATCAGGCATCAGGTAAATCCATTTTCAGGATTTCTTCCCCCAACCTGCCCTGCCCGGCCCCAGCTCAGGGCTGGAAAGCAGTGGACGGCTCCACAAGAGCTGGCCCTAATTCGCCCAGCAAAGATGAGGAAAGAGGCTTAAGACCAGGCCTGCAACCTGAATGCAGTGAAACCCCAATGCCAAGTCATGTGCGTGACTCACCCAGGGCCAAGGCAGGTTTTTACCCCTAGAGGTTAAAAAATGCAAAAAAAAAAAAAAATCTTTTTTTTTTTCTTTTTCCTCTAAGATGTCCCCGTTGTGGAAGGAGAAGAGCGTGGTGGAGAATTATGCACATTGCCATATCTGTTCTGCAGAAAAGCATTAACTCAGTCACTGGAGGCGGTGTGGGGGGTGTTGAAGGTTAAATACTTGCTTCCCCTGTTTTGATAAAGCACGAGCTAATATTTTGGTTATCATAAATGGCATCTTCCCCAAAGGGAAATGAATATTTCAGGTCTTTACAGCTTCGAGCCTGCTGTGATATACAGCTAAAGAGTAACTCCTGCTCGCTTCTCAGGAGCCGTCACTGCTTGGGCTTCAACAACCACCTCTACATTTGCAGGCACTGTACTCTGCAAAGCCCCAGGCAGGAGCTGCATGTTCAAAAACCTATTTGAGCAAAAAATGGGGGAAAATTTACCTAAAAAGAATGGCTTTGGCACTGAGGAAGAGCAGAAGTTTCCTGCCAAAGACCAACATAAAAGCCAAAAGCCAGGCTGAGATTTGCAGTAGCCACCAGGCACGCGTACGTTCTGAAGAGTCAAATCTGGCACCAGGGCAAAACGCTGCTTTAATCAACGAGGCTTTTTCAGTTTTCAAGAGGTTTCAGAGCCCTTTTGATGTGGGCATTTGACATATTAGTAATGGAGCTTCTCCAAACAAATGGCTACACCAATGTACAGGAAAGGAGAATGATGAAACGCAGGCAAGATTTCAAGACAAGTTGTACTCGACCTGCAAGCCTGAGTGCTGACAAGACGAATATTGAGCAAAGAAATGAAACTTTCTCGAGAGGTCTTTCGGAGGGGACAGAGCTGCAATCGCCAAATGCGAAAAGTTACTAAAAGAAATAACTGCTGCTTTTGAAATCCCTAAGAGTTCCCCTACACATCTTCCCTGCATAATTTGCACTCGTTTATTGTGCCTGGTTCTCTCCTGTGTTCAGAGCTGCAGCTGTAATATTCCTCACCATCCGTTGCGGTGCTCTCCTTGCTCCAGTGTCCCCGGGGGCTCCAGAGGGACCGGGCTCTGCTGCTTGCGGGGCAGGGTGGTACCCGGGAGACCAGGCAACCTAAAGGGGACACGAGGCAGAGGAGGAGGCCAAACCAGACCTAAGAATCGAGGAACATAGATAAGGATTTTCTGTACCAGCCGGGGGATCTCCAGCGGGAGCTGGTGGATATTCCCATTTCCGAAGGATCTCTGAGGTCGTGCTGATGT